TGCTGTATAACTGCTTTACTCACCACTTCTGAATTATACCGCGGTACTATACTTTGCCATCACACTATTTCCTATTATTTATAATCTTAGAATTAGGCTTTTTCCTAAGGACCACATATTTTTAAAAAATAACCTTTATTATAAAAATCTTTAAAACTTAAGGTCTTCATTGTCTTAAAACCAATTCTTATAAATATGTTTAATCTTTATTTTTGAGAGAGAGAGAGAGTGGAGAGAGAGTTTGACCAGGGGACGGACAGAGAGAGGGAGACACAGAATTTGAAGGAGGCTCCAGGCTTCGAACTGTCAGCACAGAGCATGATGCAGGGCCCAAACTCATACATACTGTGAGGTCTTGACCTGAGCCAATGTTGGACACAACCGACTGAGCCACTCAGGTGCCCCAAGACCAACCATTCTTAAACTCTTAAAATCTGGCTTCCATTTTTTGGCAAGTGTTGGAAATGAAATGAGAACCTAAGTGTCCTGTTGTTGCTATAACACAAAACAGCAAACTTACTACATTAAAACAGCTCAAATTTAGCATCTTATACCTCTGGAGATCCCGAATTTCACGGGGCTAATAGTCGAGGTGTCTAAGAAGCACTTTCTGGAGGTTCTGAAGAACCATGTATGTATCATATTTTTGAACTCCTGGAGGTTGCTCCCCCTTTATTATTTGTGAGTCATTCAATTTTCCAAGTCAGCAAGCAGTTACATTACTCTGACCTCTGCTTCTGTCCTCACTTACCCTTCTCTGATTTTGATCCTTTTGTCTACTTCTTACAAGGGGCCTTATGATTACATTTAACCAACCTTGACAAATAGAATAATCTCTCAATTTCAAGATCTTTAATTTAATCACAACTGCAAACATTCTTTTACCGGATATAGTGACATATTCACAGGTTTGAGGGATTAGTATTACATGGACATTTTTGAGGGGCCATTATTCTATCTATCACAAATCCAAATCTATTTAAATGCTTATCACATGTTTTCAGTGTTATGGAATACAGCCTTCCTATTATTATAATGTGTTATGAGGGACATTCCATTTAAGGTTTTTTTTGTTGTTGTTGTTATGAAAATGCAATTTTATTTTAAGGTAGATCAGCACATATTTATACATCATGGATGTACTTTAAGGTAAAAAAATGAATTGTTAATTTATTTTGAATTGAAATGCCAGAAAATAGTCTTTGATAAATTGTAACCACTGAAAGGTCAAAGAAGAAAAATTGTAAAGAGCTTTGTAGTTTGGATTAACATTAAAGTCTCTGTTTCTGTGCTCGCTTCGGCAGCACATATACTAAAGTCTCTGTTTTTTCCATTAATAATACAGAAAAAAAAATGTCTTTTAATTCCTTATCTAAAATACCACAGATTTTTACTGTAACTATTTTATAATTAATTTTCCTCTAAAATTATAAGGTCAATTATAAGGATATTATAGTGATCATTAGAATGTTCTTTCTCTGGGAAAAGAACGTTTTAGAAAAGCAATCTTATCATTCAAGGTTTTGATTTAAAGAGAAAGGTTAGGTGCATTATTTCAAACCAAATGGTAGATGTAGTGTCAGGTCACATTGATTGCCACTGGTGTAGGTACCTACTCAATTCTACTGAAAACTGAGTACAAGAAGATAAATCTAGACACTAAATTCTACAATGTGTGCTTTTTCTGTCTTACTTACACTCTGATGCCTAATAGAAATAATGTTAATAGAGTGAATTTAATTCTGGATTTTAAAATAAATAATAAAAAAGTAAAATAATAAAACTAAAATGGAGATTTTTTTTTGTCAGTTTTAGTATAATCTGGGCTTAACTGTTTGTTTAAATGTTCCTTTCAGGTTATTTGATAGTATAGCTATGTGTTTGCTTTTCCTGATTTATTTGAATTAAGCCCAGGATGCTAAGCCTAGCTCTTTTTAAAAGGCAGAATACAATGTTTATTTGTTTTTCACCTTACATTACACCTTAACAATAATTTTTTAACTTACTGAAGTTATTAGCATGCTGACTCCGAATGTTGTTGCCATGAAAGCTGCTTTCTGAAGCACAAGGTCTTTGGACTGTATCACCAGTATTAAAAATGTGTGTCTTTGCAGTAGGCTGGGGAAGTAAAAGGGCCACCCTTGTAGTGTTAAAAGCTATAAATGTGTACTTTATAGTGGGTAAAGGATTTTTGAGAACCATCTTCTTTTCTAGAATACTGCAAAATTAAGAGTGATAAGTGTTTTACATAACTAAATGTTAACTCAAAATGGACAAATGGATACTTGGAAATATTGAGAAAGAGGATTTATTTGCTTCATGCTAACAATAACAAGGAAAAAAGATATCAGTAACAAAGAATTCTCTGAGAACATAAAGCCTGGGACTGCTAGGATATTCACACTAACCTGGGCAAATAAATTATGGCTTATAAAATTTGTTCTGTCTGAGAATGTATTTGCAACCACCTCTGGCAACCACCAGTTTGTTCTCTGTATTTAATAGTCTGTTTTTTTTTTCTTTTTTTGCTTGTTTGTCTCTTTTGTTGTTGTTGCTTATTTTGTTTCTTAAATTCCACATGAATGAAAAATTATGGTTTAATATGGTAAATATGGCATTTGTCTTTGTCTGACTGATTTATTTCACTTTGCTTATGCCCTGACCCATCATGTTGTTGAAAATGACAAGATTTCATTCTTTTTATGGCTGAGTAATAATCAATAATCCATAGTTTGTATGTATGTATGTATGTATGTACATACGCATATATATACATACACATACCCACAGATACATATCAGATCTTCTTTATCCATTCATCTATTGATGAACATGGGCTGTCTCCATAATTTGACTTTTCTTTAAAATGCTGTAATAAACAGAGGGGTACATATGTCTTTTCAGATTATTGTTTTCATTTTCTTTGGGTAAATACCCAGTAATGGAATTACTAGATCATATGGTAATTCTATTTTTAATTTTTGAGCAACCTCCATACTGTTTTCCACAGTGGCAGTACCAATTTACATTCACATCAATAGTGCATAAGGGTTCCTTTTTTTCTGCATCTTCATCAACATTTAGTATCTGTTGTGGTTTTGATTTTTGCCACTTTTACAGGTGTAAGATGATATCTTATGCTGGTTTTAATTTGCATTTCACTTAAGATGAGTGATGTTGAGGATCTTTTCATGTGTCTGTTTGCCATCTGTATCTTTTCTTTATAAAAGTGTTTGGCCCTTCTGCTCATCTTTACTGAATTATTATTATTATTATTATTATTATTTAGTGTTGAGTTGTGTAAGTTTCTTTATATATTTTGGGTATTAAACTGTTACCAGAGTCATATCATTGGATATATCATTTGGAAATATCTTCTCCATTTCAGTAGATTGTCTTTTGTTTTCTTGATCATTTTCTTCTCTATGCAAAAGCAATTTATTTTGGTGTAGTCCTAATAGGTTATTTTTGCTTTTGTTTCCCTTGCCAAAGAAGACGTATCTAGAAAAACTTTCTGTGGCCGATGTCAAAAAAATTATTGTATATGTTTTCTTCCAAGAATATTATGGATTCAGGTCTCACATTTAGGTTTTAACTCCATTTTTAGTTTATTTATTTTTGTGTATGGCATAAGAAAGTGGTCCAGTTTTGTTCCTTTTTATTCTTTTACATGTAGCTGTCCAATTTTCCCATTACTATTTTTTATGGTCAATTATTATACCAGTACTCTTTTTTTCCTATTGTATATTCTTGCTTTCTTTGTTGAAATTAATTGGCCATAAAAACATGGGTTTATTTATGGGTTTTCTATTCTGTTCCATTGATCAATATGTCTATTTTTGTGCCAATGCCATAATATTTTGATTACTACAGCTTTGTAGTATATCTAGAAGTTTGAGACTGTGATACCTCCACTTTTGTTCTTGTTCAAGATAGTTTTTGCTATTCAGAATCTTTTGTGGTTCCATACAAATTTTAGTATTATTCTAGTTCTGTGAAAACTGTCTTTGATATTTTGATAGCGATTGCATTAAATCTGCAGATTGCTTTGGGTAGTGTGGATATTTTAACAATATTCATTCTTCCTGTCCATGAACATGGAATATCTTTCCATTTATGTGTGTCATCCTCAATTTCTTTCATCAAAGTTTTACAGTGTGTGGAGTACAGATCTTTCACCTTCTTGGCTAAGTTTATTCCTAGATATTTTATTAATTTTGATGTAATTGTGAATGGGGTTGCTTTCTTAATTTCTGTTTCTGCTGCTTTATTATTAGTGGATAGAAATGCTACCAATTTCTGTATATTAATTTTGTATTCTGCTACTTTACTGAATTCATCAGTTCTAGTTGTTTTTTGTTGGAATTCCTTAGTGGTGGTGGTGATGTTATTGCCGCTGCTGTTTTCTGTTAGTATTTGCTTGATCTAGTTGAGACATGGGGAAATTTCAGGGCATCAGGGTGCTTAAAATTGCTACTAAAGTGAAAAGATCATAAACAGGAAAAGAGAATTACATAAATGAAAGTAATAGAGCAAAGATGGCCATTTGATCCTTAGCTAAAACCTTGGAGAAGACATCTTTCTTTTTAAAGGATTTTAAATGTGTGTTCAAGCTAATCTTATCTAGATGATAAGGGATAAGGTGATTTTAATTAAGAGCTAAGTTACAAGTTTTGTGCCTTTTACACTTTTTTATCAGTACTAGATTTATATTCAAGAATCTTTTGGTTGAGATACGAAAGTTTATTCCCTCCCAACCTTATAACACCCACCTAAAGAATTACTTCTTTTAAATATAAAGATTACTCTAAAAACAATGCCATTATTTATAATGAGTTATAAAGGTATCAGTAACTGAGTGTCTGGGTGGCTTAGTTGGTTGAGCATCCGACTCTTGATTTCATATACTGTCATGACCCCAGGGTTATGAGATAGAGCCCTCCATGTGGCTTCATGCTGAGTGTGAAGCCTGCTTGAGAGTCTTTGTCTCCCTGCTCTTCTCTTCCTCTTGCACTCTTGTCCTCTCTCTAAAATTAAAAAAAAAAGTTAATTGTTTAAAAAATTAAATTTAAAAAATCATTTTAATTAAAAATATTTAAGATATGAGAAATTAAAGAATTTTAAAAATTTAAAAAAAGGTATTAATGACTCCACAACTTTGCCATTTTAGGTTCTATCAGAGTTCTTATGCTTTGGCAATCTATTTTATGATTAATGGTATATCATGAATATTTTAATCTATATCTCATTTTTATTCTGAGTGATTTTACAATGTCTGGTGTTAGGTATTTTTAAAAAGATTATTTGTGGTTATTCTTTATTTCATTAATCCATTGTTTTCCTTCTGTTATGTTCACGGTATACAATGATGAACCGAAAACATATGTTCCTCTATGTCATGGAGCTTGTAATCTAAGAGGCAATAATGAAAATAATCATGTAAATAACTATGGTGTAAATCTATAAAGGAAAATTAAATGTGATTTTATAGAGGAATATAAGGAAACTATAGTACTAGAGGAATTACCTGAGAAAGGTTGCAAGATCAGGTTTAAAACTGCCCTTCACATATTTGAAGGTGTAGAATTGACTCCTGGGTATATGTGTTGTCATACAAAGAAACATTTCTGGAAGAATAAAGGACAGAATTTATCTGATTTCATTACCAAAATACTCCTCAGCTGGCTCTATTTTTAATTTTGTTTTATAAGACACTTCTTATTTAGTACCATAATAACATGATTATGCAGACAACACAATTGTGAATATTCTCATTTAATACTACAGGCAAATGAGGCACAGATAATTTAATTATAGTTTGCTCAGGTCAAATTCCAGCCATATTTAAAACTTTGGCCTTTACCCTGTGCATCACAGGACCTTTGAGATCATGTGGTGATCTCTTTTTACTAGGTAGGTTTTGATTATCACTTGACAGTCTATCAGTATCGCATACCTGAAAATTTAATTTACTTGATATAAAATATGGAAATCTATTGTAACATAAAGATTGTTAAATTTTAACAACTCCAGGTGTATTGCTATTGTTAACTTCATCTTTAAAGCTAGCATAATACATTCTCAAAAGTTAAAAAGTAAAAAACACTATTCTTTGAAATTTTTGTCTCAATTTGGCAGAATAATAGAGAGAGAAAGAATTTTCTTATACCAGATCACTTTGACCATTTCAAGGGAGAGAAGCAGAAGAGAGAAGAGTATGAAAATTGAAGAAAGGATGAAAAAGAATGAGGAAAGAGGCAGAACTATTAGAATAGAAAGATAGGATAAAAGATAATGAACAGTACTCCTTCAGTTTTTATCATTTTTATTTTTATTTTTTAAGTTTTTATTTTAATTCCAGTTAATTAACATGCAATGTTATATTAGTTTCAAGGGTATAGTATAGTAATTTAACACTTCCGTGCAACACCCTGTGCTCATCACCGCAAGTGCACTCCCTAATCCCCATCACCTATTTCACCCATCTCCCAATCCACCTCCCCTCTGGTAACCTTCAGTATGTTCTCTATAGTTAAGAGTAAGCTTCTTGGTTTGCCTCTCTCTCTTTAGGGAAAAATTTTTTTTTTTTTTAAAGGACAATTAATGGCACCTTGGAGGCTCAGTCGGGTAAGTGTCCAGCTCCTGATTTTGGCTTGGATCATGATCTCAGGGTTCCTGGGAATTCTGGAATTCTTGAAATTCTCTCTCCTCTCTCTCTGCCCCTCCTCCTGCTCTCTCTCTCTCTCTCTCTCAAAAGATATTTTAAAAATACAATAATTAATACATTACTTATAAGGCAAAAATGAGTTAGAATGTAAGAGTAATCTTTTTTTGAGAGAGAGAAAGAGAGAGTTCATGTGCACACACACGCACATGTGCAGAAGCAGGGGAGGAATACAGTGAGGAGAGAGAAAGAGAGAGAGATAGAGGGAGAGAGACTCTTAAGTCAGCCAGGTACCCCAAGAGTCCTCTTTCTTTAACTACAAACTACTCAATACTCAACTATAGTAATGTGTGGCAAAGTAGGGTAATGTCAAAATATTTAATCTCTATCATGACCTTCTTTTTCCTTATACTGCATGGCACTTTCACAGATTTGTTTCATCATATTGATTGTCACAAATTCCATCCTTCCCTATCCTCTCAACTGCCTGTGTTTGTCAGTAAATATTCAGTAATAGACATAATCACTAAACTGTGCTTCCGCAGTTTACATAGGTACACATTCTGTGATTCTCTCATTTCATAGTGTTCATTTTATAATCTAGAGATTTCTGAAAATAAGATTAAAAAGACAATGCTTTTTATTAGGGGAGCATAGCAAATTAAAATATGTCTAATGGAAATCAAGATTATATTTTCTAAGTGTATATTTTCATTTTTCTATTTTATTGTACGTATTTGATATATATATAAATAAGTATATATGTGTATATATATACATATATATATATATATATTATGTTTATTTTGACTCCAAAGTACAATAGTTCACACATTTTATAATATAACCTACCATATTATTTTCTTTTTATAGTTGGTCCCAAGGCTATATTTAGTTTCAAGTGTGAAAAGATTAATATGGTTATTTATATTTTATTTCTTTTGCCACACAAGAGAAAACTAAACTTATTAAATCCATTGCTTATTATTTTGGTTAAATATCTGTAAGACTATATATAAACATGAATCTTAAATCACGAGTATGTTTAGAAGCATGAGTTTTTTATTTGAAATAAGTACAATCATAGGAATTCTTCATATAAGAATTCAGGTGAAAAAGAATTTTAAAGGATTACATTTGCAGGATGTTCAGAGAATGTATCTTTCAGAGAAAGCTTTCATTGGTACTATAATAGCTGTGTCAAGACATTCGGTATGGCAAAAAGTAATTCTGGTTGCATCTGGGAGACTGACAACAGGCTTCAGCTGATGTCAGATGAAAACAGAGCACATACCAAAAAAAATGAACAGTGTTACATCTTTGGGCTACTGATGCAGTTGGAAAAGAGGCATTCCCTAGGAATAAAATGTTCAAATGAGATCAAAGTGTGAGACACTCTGTAATGATAAATGAAATTGTATGGTTTCTTCATGGCCCATAAAATTTGATTTTATTTTATTCTAATTGATTTTTTATTTAAAATTCCTAGCATGAATAAAAATCTTAAAAGGAGAAGAATCTTAAAAGAACAGTTTGAGTATCTTTATTATATGAGGTTCGACCTTACTAGTTCCTATTGAACTATGTAACCATTTTATCATTATTGGAAAACACTATGTTGAATCTCTAAGATGAACACATTGTAGGAAGATCGTACAAATTACTTGCTCACCTAAGTCAGCTTCAAAGTCAGCTTTCAGTTGCTTGCAGTTAACTGTAAATGAGACACAATTAATCATGTTTTAAAATGTGTAATCTTCCAGTTAAAAGATTAAAAATGACCATACATACTTTTCTAGATTCTGTAGATACTAGGAAATGGCAAAACTCTCAAAAGATTTATAATTGTGTATGTCAAATGACATGATTTGTCAGCTGGGGGAATTGAGGATATGACATTTCCTCAGATGTTTTGTTCAATGCCAGGTATATAAAAATGGAATTAATTCAGATAAAAAATGAAGAAGAAAAGAAGAATTTAAAGGACTCTAAATTATTTCACAAGACACATGATGGAAGGCAGCATGGCATTTTAAAATAGCAAAGAGTGGGCTCACAGGGGAATTAGGTATATCACTTCAGTATTTGAAAGCCTGTCATGAGCAAAGGGATTAATGTCTCTTTTAGATAAGTATTTCAAATATAGATTTGTGTTTAAGTGAAGGTAGGGTTTTGTGCCAGAAGGCTCTAAGTATGTCTGCTACCTGAGATAATGAGTGCCCAGTCCCTATAGGTTTTAAAGCATTGGTTCAATGTCCATTAAAAATGAAGGCTTTGAAAGAAATTTAACAGTCATGAAGGGAGTATTTGCCTAGTGTTATTGGAATTAATTTGGCTTTTTTTTCCCCTGAATTTGAGCAATTAGATGGTTCAAACATATAATACTGGCATGGATGTGTGTGAGTATGTATTTAGAAGTCAGTCACTGCATTAACTGTATTGATTAGTTCAATGGCAGTGTGTTCACACTGGCGATGTGAAGATTCAGACTTAACATATATGATGTCATTTCTAAAGGAAATAGGCCGAACAGAGTTTGAATCATGTTAAAAATCCAGGTATTTCTGACAGAACTCTTTCATGTCCTCAATACTAAACTGTAAGATAAAATCAATAATGTTAAATATAATTTATTAGAAAAAATAGTGGCTTTTTAAAGTCAGCCATATCTAGGTTGAAGTTGCTTGCCTGTATGGATTGTAAACAGGATTTACGTGTGAAGACAGAGTGAAATGATTTTTCTAAAGGTCCTATTCAACATCCGACACATATTACAGGCTCATAAAATGTTAGTTTCATATTCTTTAAGGTTCTTCAGAGAAAAGTAACAATTTTTGTTAATAATCCCCAACATGTAAGAATACAATTTAAGTATGATGCATAAAATAATGATCTTACTTTCATCGTTACTTACTCCACTAAATTTACTGCCACTTACTTACTCCCGCTCCTATCCTGCCCCGAATCCATTCCCACATTTGGAGGCCAGTTTAAGCAAAAGCCTTTTATAACTATCTTATCTCTGCCCACTGAGTTATAACTAATGAATATGACTACATTGTTTCAGGCTAAGTCCCAGGTAGCCCAACTGGTAACACTGTAAACCCTGACTCCGGGGTTATCCTGTATTGAACTCCACCTGAAGTAATAGTCTCTGCAGTTACTACTGAAACCACCACTTCTTACGCTGACAGCAAATTTTCTGTCCTCCTGTCAAAACTCCCTTTAATATCTAGAAGTCAGAAAAAAATGGACAGAAACAAAGGAGGTCTTCAATACAGAGTGTTGAACTCTTATAACTGGTTCTGAGGGAAGGAAGCACAGAGAGGTTCAAATAACCAATTTAGAATATTCAACTGGTCCCTAGGACAACATTAACAATAGTCTCTCTTGCCATGAGTAAACATTTTCCTTCTATATATATGGTTTCTGTATGTTATCTCCACTGAAAAATTATAAGTAAAATTGTATTTATCTTAATACTCAGCATGACATTTTGATTAGTGCTACAAAATAGTTTTTACTTCCACAGGTGTGGAATCACAAATTCTAAATGTTTTTTTTATTAGTTTTTGTTGTTATAATAAATAAAAGTAACTTCAATTGACTTTTCATCTAGTTCTAACATAGCCAGTTTGAATTAATAGATTCACCCAAGTATGGACAGCCTCATATATTTTAATTTAATAAATGGAATTTTATTATAAATTTTCTACATTATAGGTACAGATAGACATGTAATAATTACCTAATTTAAATAACTATGGATTTTCTTAACCTACTGGAATTATTAAGCATCTGTATTTGTCAGCAAATATAAATAAGTCTTAGTTAAAGTAAACGATAAAAATAATCTCTTTAAAATCATACACCCTCTCTTTCCTGAAAAAATACTTTACTATTATAAAAATGCACTTTATGATTTGAAATTTTTTAACTATTTGGAAGTAGTATAGTACACAGTAACCCATAGTACGACTACCCGATGATTCAGTGCTCTCTACATACTTTACCTAGATTGTATTATGTAATTTTATGCCTTCAAATACAATTATGAGTTTTCCTCTCCTATTCCTTCTCCTCCCCTCTTTATCTTCCTCTACCTTTATCTTTCCTTCATTAATTATTCAACCCTAAAGCCATTTGTTGGGAGAAGAGCAAAGTGGACTTCATTTGAAGGGATATCCTTGCTTAGGGTGTCAGAGCCCAAGCAGAGTGACAAAGACATCCGTATCTAGAGGCTGTTTATTAGCATAAGGTTTCAAAGGTAAGTGAGGGCAGAGAGTGCACCCACAGGGAGAATCAGCCTGGCATGCACTTTTGAAATGCGACTGAAGAGCATGCCCACACGATATACAGCTTGCTTTGAGGAATCAAAGTCCAAGTCAAGTCAGAAAACCAATCCCTCAATGAAAGGTTTTCAAAACCTAGTAGACTAACAATGTTGTCCAAGTGTGTGGACAGCCTGGTGCAGGTTGGCAGTGCCCATGCGAGGGAAATGAGATGATTCATGCCTAGAGAAGTCCCAGCATGGGATGAAAGAGCCAAAGTGGAGAGAGGAACGCATCCATGCAGGGAGTAACCTATTGTGGAGAGGCAAATTCAAATGGAATAAGCATTATCAGTTGCCAAGTGTGAGTTATCAGAGCATAAGAGAACTACAGAGGGCATTCTTAATGATAGAAGACCTGGCATGATGAATTAAATTATGTGTCAGTTGAGAAAGACTTCTATGCAAATGAAGAGTAGAATAGGATGTGAAAGTTCAGCTAGAGAAAGATAGAACAGCAGATACTCGCCATTCATGGAGGTATTATGAAATGGGATGACAGATGGGCATGAAGAGTCAAAGTCAGGGAGATGAGCATCCTTGTGAAAATGTGGCCTCAACATAAGAGAGCCCCAACATGGTGAAGATCTTCACATAGAGAGGTGCTGAGGCACCATGTTCTGAATGGTGTAAAGTGCTTGCACAAGGAGAGAGAGCCAACTATGGCCATTCAGAGCTTGAGAAGAATCAGAAAAGTGTCTGTGTGGGGAAAAAAGCACAATGAAAGGATGACAGAACCTAACAATGAGAGCAGCCTAACAGTTATTCCATCTGAATGAGTAAGGAAAGTACCCCAAAGTGAAGGCAGCCCTGTGTAAGGTGTCAGATTACAGGTGGGATGAAGAGAGAAGCACAGAGGAGGAAGGTCCCATGTGATATGTCAGTCCCATCAGGTAGAGAAAGGTGACCATGCAATGGGTTGGTCTGGAATTGAATACGGAAACCCTAATGGGGGTAGTAAGAATGTTTACACAGGGCAGGGAACATCTGGGTGGGTATTAGAGCCTCAGTGGTCACCACAGGCACTGGAAAAGGAAAAGGAGTTGTTAGATTTAAGAGGATGGATCAAGTATATGAATATATTGAACATAAAAGAAGCCAGTTTTTTCACTGTTTTGAAGAGAATTATCAAAAGGAAGAAAATTATTAGATCAGCACTGGTGTTATCAGTATGAATGCATGGCTTTAGATATATAGAAAAAATAGGAAAAAATAAATAGTATATCTGCTTCTGTCCATGAAGGAATGATTTCTAAAGATGTGCATTATATCATAAATAATTAGTAAATTAGACAAAAAGTGGTAGGAAAAAAACCTGTTCACAAACATCAGACAAGTGCAGAAATTTGGGTTTTGAAGCCATTATTCCTTTGTTTTAGGAATGTATTAGTTAATATTTTTAATTTTTTAAAAAAATATTTATTTTGAGAGGGAGCAGTGGGAGAAGGGCACAGAGAGAGAGAGAGAGAGAGAGAGAGAGAGAGAGAGATTCCCAAGTATGTTCTGCTGTGTCAGCACCAAGTGGGGCTCAATCCCACGAACCCTGAGATCATAACTTGAGCAAAAAATCAAGAGCCTTAACTGACTGAATCACCCAGATGGCCTATTTTTTTTTAACGTTTAAGCAAAACATTTCTGTACTTTATTTTAGAACCTTAATTGCATAATTAACTACATACATTAGATTCTTACAATCTATTGAACAAACATATATATGAAAACATCAATTACACTGTGATCATTTCTTTGTCATGTTGAAAATGTTTGCTTAATCAAACATATATTGAGAACATTTTCTTTTTTAAATGTGTAAATTTAGGGTGGTTGATGAACTGATTTACACATATTTTCTAAATGAGATTATTAGACCTTATACTTCATAACTATATAACTCTTTTGTATTCATACTTGAATGATTTATTTTTTAAATTTTTACTTAAATTCCAGTTAACATACACTGTAATATTAGTTTTAGGTGTACAGTAGTGATTCAACACTTCCATACATTACCCTGCGCTTGCTCATCACAAGTGTACTCCTTAATCCCCATCACCTATTTCACCCATTCCCCCACCCACCTCCCACTTCCCTTCTGGTAACCATCTGTGTCCTCCATAGTTAAGAGCCTATTTCTTGGTTAGCCTCTCTCTCTCTCTCTCTTCCACCCTTTGCTCCTTTGTTTTGTTTCTTAAATTCCACATATGAGTGAAATCATGGTTTCTTTATCTTTCTCTGCTGATTTATTTTGTTTAGCATAATACTCTGGAGCTCCATCCACATCCTTGCAAAGGGCAAGATTTCATCCTTCCATTCTTTTTTATAGCTAAATAATGTAAATTTACTTACCACTTCTTTATCCATTTATCAATCAGTGGACACTTGGC